ATAGCAGGGTAAAATGGAAAAGTGTTTTTCTTCTCTCTTAATACTTATATCAGTTAAAGTGGCTTAAATGTATTGATCACATTTACCATAGAGTCAGATGAAACATAAATTTTTCTTATTGAAAAATGCTTCCAGGAACTGTACTTTTAAGAAGGGATAATTTGGATCCTACTTTCCTCAGTTTTTTGATGTAGCCTTTGGAAGTAACCCTAATTTTTCTCACTTATGATCCCTAATTATATCAGTAACCTAGCATTACGTACTTGTACTGTTGAAATGCTTTAGTCCAAGGAATTGGCAAATGTGTTGACTAAGGACAGGACAGAAGGAGTCCTAGTCTTACTGCTACAGTCCTTGAAGATGTCACTCTGCTTATCAGTGCTATTAGGGTAAGGGTTATTTAACCAGTTATAAATCACACCTTATTTTTCCACAAGTCAGACCCACTTTTGACATTTTGTCTGAGGGAATGTCACGAGTCACAGTTTGCTGGCTGCCTTTGCTGATTATTTATGAGGTAACTTTGTCGAGGAAACAAAAGAGCTTAGTCTGACATGGCTATTTTTAACACAGTTTATTTCTGCTTCAAAATAGGTTAATGCCTTCACATAAAATTAAAAGTCAAGCTAGTCAGATTTCAATTACTTATGCATAATCACTGATCTCAGGGCTCAGAACCATGGGTCCTCATTGTTCTGACAGGAGAAATAAGGCAGGAGGAAAACTCTTCTGGGCCAGAAACATACCAGTCTTTTGTTTTAGTTTAAATATATAGGTTTTTTAACTTTATGTATTATGCATCTTGCTAAATCTTCTTTATGCCAATATTCACGCTTCAGTGAAACCTCCTAAAGTTCATGGTTGGTGTTTTGAACTTAACAAAAGCTAAATGTCTATTTGTTCATTCAAAGTGGGAATAAATAACTGATTTTGGATTTCCTATTCTTTTCTTCAGACCCTAAAAATCTTCTCGTGCTGCTGGGTATTTAATGCAGTATTAACAGCTATTTTTCTGGGTGAATTCTTTCTCTCCAAACAATGATTTGGAGGAAAAATGAGACTATTCCAATAGCTATACTTATTTTTTATATTCTATTCACATGAGCTTCACTTTCATTCAGATATAAAATCTAATTTTATAATTTCCCATTCAATGTGGGTAGTATTTCCAATAATAAGTTTATTTTGGCTGGTGGAGTTCCTAACACTGCTTTTACACATCTATACCACTTACATACATCTATCATTTGTTATATTTCTCTTTCTAACAAAATATTTTAAAAGGTTTTTGGTAAAGAAATTCCATTTCAGATATATTGTTTCTTTCTTAAATTCATATGATCATAAAATATGATTGTGAGTGTATTACTATGTTTAAATTGCTTTGTTTGTGCCCAGCCTTCTTTGTCCAAATAAACTTTTGTGTTAAGACTGAACTTGTCTTGTAGTAAAGTGTGAGGATGTTGGTGTCAAGTGTTTGACAGATGAGGAAGCAAAAACGTACTTGTGAATAACTCACTGCATTTTCATTGTTAAGGAGAGAAGAAAGATAAATCAATATCTGGAGATGATGACAGGATCAAATGACAACTTTTAAAATATAAATTAGCAATGAGTATGTTTGACCAATAACGGAAATGGCAGTTATTGCTCTTGAATGCATAAATCAATGGTAAGATAGTTCATGACCATGCTCACTGCTAGCAAGATGCAATTACATTCTGGATTTCTTTTAAAAGAATGATAACAGCAATATTTATCATAGCAATAATAATGTCTTTCAGTGGAATATCAAACCTACTTGTACACCCTTTCATCATGGAATCTGAGATACACAGAGAAAACAAAAATAAAGGTGAGAGGAGGAGCTAGAATCATATTCCCCAAAAGCATTCTTGTATATCAGGAGACTTTTCCCAACTTCAACTGTGAAATTCAGATAGGCTTGGCTCATATATATGGTTCCTTTTTCATATATAGTAGTTTAAAATTGATTTTGAATGCTTTTTTTAGAAGAACAAATTCTCACTGATTCACTTTAGTCTGTACCACTACCTGTTATTTTTAATTAGCTCATAATCTGATACCTCCAATAGATATTTTAATTTTCAACCCCTACTCCTGAATTATAGGCAATAATACTTTAAGTAAGAACTGTTAAATCATCTGTTAAGAATAGAATGAATTTTCCAAAAGACATATGAAAATCAAAAATTTACCATTACTACCAGGTGTTTCTTTTTTCTGTTATTTTTGTGATTTGGATAAAACAACACTTTGGATAATTCTGTAAGAAATTTTTGGAGTGAAATAATTTTGTTTGGTTTCTCTTAGCATTACACAATTGTTTTTGATTGTGTTGCTTCCTTTGAGTTATTTTTCCACATTTGTTTTGCATTTGTTTCTAACATATTTGTACAGATAATTATTTTGATTCTACATAGTTAGAAGTTATTTATCCAGTCATATTAACTGATCCTTCATATTTATAATCTATATTTTAACCTAAGCTTTCAAATTTTTATATATATCTATATAGATATAGATATAGATACAGATATAGATATCTTTTAAAATATTTTCCAATGTAGCTTACTATGAATTCTTCCTTTGTTGTTCAAATTTCTGATGGAACCAAAGATATCCCTTCATAGTAGTAGGTATATGATTTACTTCCTTAAAATTATATTTTATTTAAACGTAAGTAGCACAGTTGCTCTCAAATTGTTATAGTTTCTTCCCTCATTAACTAAATATTTTAAGAGTAATAAATCTTAGAATATAACTCAAAATTTTAAATTTCCTTTTAATCATTCTATGTCATCCTTTCTTTTTGCCTATTTTTATTTTTATTGTACAATAAAGAACACTGGTAGTGTCCCTGTGTCTTTGAAATTTTGAGCTCTATACACTGAAATTGAAAATACTGGTGTTGCTCCCCTAGATTACTCTGATGCATGAATCAACAGCACCAGATTATAGTTCCTGGATTTGAAAAGTTTTCCGTAGTACCGGCATATAGCTACCAGAACAAAGTTTACCTACAGGCCCTATCCCTTATCCAAGTTACTGTTAGGTTCTCTGTACCATTTTCTTTGGGTACAGATATGGTTTCCTGGAGCCTACTCCTGTCAGCACCCTCTTCTTATTTCACCAAGTTTATTTCCAAGAGAGAGGTTTTATTCTTTATTTAGCCAGAAGCACTGATTCACTTAAATGAGACCCCTATAAAGCTTCATGGGTATAGGTTTTGTCCTTGTCTTCCTTACTGGTATTTTGATTCCTACTTATTTACTGAGTTTGGATTCGATAATATGCCTTCTCTGCTGTTCTATGGAGTAAAACAAAAATGGCTCAGAGTTCAGAAATCTTTCAAAGTTCATGATCTGACCCCAACTTGTTTCTGACTTTGGTGGGATTGAGAAATATATAATTAAAATTGAGTTCAGTTTCATTTGTTCTGATCTAAAGAAAGGCACAGACACTAAAAACAGGAAATATGTACTAGGTTTCTAGCAGGCTTTATATTTTCTGGACTTTAAATTATACCTGGGATATGTGAAAAGACTCAATGATTTGAGAATTCCTCATCAAATACAAATAGAAAATAGAAATAGAAAAATCTAAGAGAGAAACAAAATTAAATAATTTTAAAAAGAATAAATTATAGAACAAATTAACCAACAACACTACTGTGAATTACACTATAATATATTAGAAATGAACATAATTTGATAAAGACTATAACTACCATCAAAGTAGGTAAAATAAATCCTAATGTCTGGCATGTGTATTTCATGTAAAAATAATTAGCTCCTCTCTTCTTTCCTTATGCAAAAATTTCAGTAGCCTAAGAAGTCTCTCTCCTGAGCAATAGAAATCATAGGAGGGTCTATCGCCGCTGCTGTCACACAGATGGCTGCACATCGTATTTTCATAGCTTTTGATTCTTTTGGGGGTTCCACATGTAGAAGTCAGGAAAGGCAGTTTTGAATAATATTACAGTTATAAATCTGCAAGCATAAATATCATATTCAGAAATTATTTTGGTGGTAAAGTAGGAAACCAAGTCTGGACGTTGAGGGATTACTTTTAAGCAATCATTCCTTTATTTGACAAACTCAGGTAAGTAATTGGAAATTTTTATATTCCTCTCACCATGGGAGATAGAAGCTCAATCTTTGCCCAATAGTGTAACTCTAAATATAAATATATGGGAAGACTTCCTCTTAAGGAGCCAACTGTATCTATTAGTTTGTAAATATCACCGATTGTTGTCATTTCAGATATTATGCATATACATGTATATGTGTGTATGTATGCTTTATCTTTTTATAAAGTTATGCTTAAGGTTATTTCAAATGTTCAAATCTATATTTTAATTCAGTCCCTGACAAAACCTGATTCTAGTACAATCCCTACTATGAGAAGAAGCCTCTCATGTCATGGAGATTATTAAAGGAAAATTGTGATAGCTTTAGGCAAATAAATCCTACCCTTCATGCTTTAGATACTACTTATCATAATACTTATTTTGACTTTAAAAAGTTCTGTTGGATTTTGTTAAGCTTCTCATGTTTTTTCAGCATTTCGGTTCTAAATTCACATAACAGCTTTTATACACAGCTACATCCCAAGGGTGGGTTCACTCAGTGGGTTTAAGCTGATTTTGAAACACTAGAATCAGGGTGAATATCTCAGTATTGAAAAATACTAAGACATTGTTTACTCACCAATAAAATAAAGATGACTGTAATCACACTTGTCTAGTAGGGTTATCGTGCCTGCCACAATAATTAACATTAAATAAATTCTGGCTATTCATTAACAGAGAAATAAAATGAAGATTTTATAATATTCTTTTACTGCACTGTTTATTTGGCATTATTCAGCTAAATGAGATTTATCAGATTGTTTAAATAAGAAGTTTGTCAGACAAGGAAGAAGAAATGCAAAGAAATGAAAGACAGAAGTGACAAAAATGACACATGCATACTTACGGAGTTGCCCAAGCCGAGCTTTCTCTTTTTTACCAAACAAGCGTCCTATTGAAGACTTGATTCCTTTCTTCTTGGGGGCTTTGTGAAGAGAGTCTTGGCTGCTATTGGCACTTCCAAGACCAAGGCTTTCTGGCTCAAGAGAGGTGGATAAACTACTGCAAAACACAAAGGAAGATGAACAGCTTATTTTGATGCAATATCCACAAAGCACACATGACTTGATTCCTTTATAAATATACAGTAGGAAGAACAAGTAGAACTTAAATGTTATTTTCTCCCTTTCTTTTTATGCTCCTGCTTAAGATATTGAAATATAGTTTCTCTAGCCTCAGGGGCCTGAATCTCCATCTCCAAATTTCCAGTTCTTTCCAGTTTTATTTCTTTTAGTTTCAAATTGATTTTCCCATTTTATTCTTTGGATAATGACAAAATAATCAATGAATTTATGTTAGATTAATAACTCCAAGTTAAATGTCATTCTATTATTCAGCCCTTAGCTCATTCTTTCTTTTTTAAAATAAAAAATTTATTAGTGCACACATATTTGCAGTACATCATGATTACATTCTTTCTGGGACTAAGCACATGCACATAAAACATCTTGATTCTTTGTCCATCCTTTTCCCCTCTCCTCCCTGCCCCTCTTCCTCCCTCCATCTCCTTTTCCTCTTTCCATTTGAGACAGATTTCCCTGCTTCCTATTATCTATCTTTTATTTTGTTCTTTATTTATATTTGGGATTTCTAATATAAGAGAAATCAGGAAATATTTCAGATTGTATGTCTAATTTATTTCACGTAACATTATGGTCTCAAGGTGCATCCATTCTCCTACAAATGACTCATTTATCCTTCTTATGGCAGAGTAATTCTCAAATATGTGTAAGTACCACTTTTTCTTTATCAGTTCATCTGCTGATAGACATATGGGCTGCTTCTAAGATTTAGTTAATATGGATTATGCTGCTACAAAACATGGGTACACATGTATCACTGCGACAACTCTCATGGGAGATACCTTGAAGAGGAATAGTTGGGCCAATGGAATTTCTAGTTTTAGTTTTTTAAAGAATCTCTCTATACAGATTTCCATAGTGGTTGTACTGCTTTACATTTTCATCAGCAAGGCAAAAAGGTCTCTTTTTCCCATTATGTATTTCTCAGAGTTTATCTTTCTAACCTTAAATCTAATAACCTATGGTAAAGCTAATTGTAAAGTTGAAGCTGCTATTCAAACATGATTTTATAGGATTTTTCTTTAGTTTCTTTCTCTCAGGTTTGAAGCCCTATTGGAAAATTATTTGAGTGGGATTAGAAGAAGGAAATCATACTCTGCAGTGATCATTATATATTTTTCCATACTTATAGTTTTCGAGTATTCTTTCAGATACATGGTAGATTGAAGTGATGTCTAGGTAATTGGTCTAGATTCAATTTCTGGTCAATATATTTGGTATGATAGTAATAAAACCCATTCAATACATATTACCAAAAGCTTTTTGAATTATAAATTTGATAACATTAGTAATATGTTATATTACCTTTACTTATACATCCTAGTTAATTAAAATTCACATTCTCTAACTTCAAAGCTTTTCAAATGTTATAATTCCTTTTTCTGAGAGAGTGAAAGAAATACATATCTCAAGCCTCTTTCCAAATAAACAATGGAAATTCATTTTTAAAACATCACACAGAAAGCCCCATTTTCAAAATACATTTGTTGTAAAATATCTTTAGAAGATAGGTTCTTATAGAAATCAGTGGTCTTTAAGTCATTATGTTTGTATACAGAAATGCAGCAATATATAAATCAGGAAGAAGATATATTTATGATGCAAATTACATGCTAGTATTTGCTTATATAGATTGTTGTAGAGACTCGTTTGCAACTTTGTATTCATGTAGAGAAGACAGCATAAAGAGTCACTGTGACTGATAAGATATTTCCCTATCTAGACATCTTTTCTTTTAACATTTTTGCCGGTGTACTCTTTCAAAAACAGAGCTTGGGGAGATGCTATCACAGGTAATGACACACAGGGCACAGGGCCGCCATTTGCTTATTAGCATAAGCACAGTCAGGAAGCTTTTCAGACCTTAATTATTTTTACACTAGTATCCAAATCTGTAGCCTGACCTGAGAATCTCCCTAGTTTTTAGTTATTATTCCTTGGCTCTCCCTCCAGCCCATCCTCATTTGAATAGGGAATGTCTGTTAAAAACGGAAGAGCTATTCTTACATACTATTCTCAGATATACTGACTGGTGGGCTAAGGATTAACTTAATGGTGCCACCACCTGCATTGCAAGCACAAGGACC